AGCATAGCATTATAAATGCAGCAAACAAAACTGAATACAACAAAAATCCTGTAGCAGCCAACTCATTTTCTGCATGAACATTCTTAGGCAGCCAAGATTACAGCATCTCTATTCATAAAAGGGAGGTCTCGGTAGCTTTGGCGAACTCAAGGTTCAGAGAAATACCTGCAACTCTTTAGAGGGAAAAGGTATGGAATGGCACGTCATATCCTGGGAAAGGGCAAAACTAATTTGCTGGCACATGGAACTGGAAGAACATGAGATGCAATGTTTTGGTGAGGGCCTCACTTTATAAAATGACTTCTGGAAGCAAAAGGCTTCCGGTGCCCATCTGAAAATAGAGAAAGAAAGGAGTCTAATCTCTCCTTCTGATTTGTACAATGGAGACTTTCCCCGGCCCTCAGAGCACTCTGAGCAATTTGCAGCAACACTCTCTTATCTCCAGTTTTACAATGAAATGGACCAGGGTGAGCAACTGTAGCCACCTCCCATCAGTCCTAGCCACCATCACCCATGGAGAGGGATTGTGGAAGCCACAGGCCAAACACAATGGTATATTGTTCACCCTTGAGCTAGAGAAATATGGGGTAGTTAGAGCAGCAGTCCCCAATGTTTCTGGAACCACAGACCGGTTGGGGGGCTCCATGTGCAGGGGGCATGTCATGCTTGCAGACAGGTGTGCTGCACTCATGCACATGTGCACAAGTGAGACATGCCCCCGTGCATGTGCACGAGTGCAACACACCCATCCACAAGCATGACATGCCCCCCAATGAGCATGGCACACCTACTGTGCATGCGTATGGGGGCGGAGATCAGTCTCCACAGCCCAGTCCTGGGAAGCCCACGGACTGGCACCAGGCTGCGGACTGGGGGTTGGAGATCCCTGAGTTAGAGAGTAGTTTTATATTGTGAATTGGGTGACAGAATGTTAAGCAGAATGAAGGAAAAGTAAAATATGGTTGAAGTTACATCTGTAATTTTATGATAAGCGGATTACAGCATGTTACTGGAAGAAGACAGCAGTCACTTCAAATGAGCACTGATGGAATTTAACAAAGAAGTGCAAAAGCGGGATTACAGTTGAACCTTAAGAAGATCAAAATAATATCTATATAGCTGGCTGGATAGCTCACCGAGTTAGGTATCTGACCAAAGGTTGGGTGTTCAATTCTCCACTGTGTAAGAAGAAGGGAATCAACCCTTTCTGAGGATTCTTAACCTGGAAAATCCTGAAACGGGTCACTGTTTGATGACTTGACATCAAAGGTGCATGACGATGACGATAGCTAAAGGCATAATTACAGCAGCTCATGAAGTACATCCCATAAAAGCCAGACTGTGTGGCCTTGGGCAAGCTGTACAGTTCCAGGGTGCCCCTAGAAGAAGGGAATGGTAAACCACAACTGAGTGTTCTTTACCTGGAAAATCCTGAAAAGGGTCATTGTTTGATGACTTGACATCAAACAGTTAGTTATATTATAAAAGCTACATAACTTTAATGTTAACAATAGAACATTTGAAATTGTTAAATATATTCAGTATCTTGGTTCACTCATTAATGCAAACAGGAGCTGCAGCCAAGAAGTCGAAATATTCAGACTTGGAAGGGCAGCTGGGAAAGAACTGGAAAAGGTTCTCAAGTGTCAGGGTACATCTCTGGAGGCCAAGGTCTTCCATAAAATAATATTTCTGATTACTATATAGATGTTAAAGCTGGACCATGGAGGAGAAGCAAAGCAGACAGGCACCCTTTTCACTGGCCAACAGTTAACTGAAAGTTCACATTTTGCACTTTCCCTGCCTCCCACATGGGTTTTTTTAGTTCTTAACTCAAATCTAAGTACTTAAGTCAAGTCAATATTTTCCTATGAGAGTGGTTCTTAAGTCAAAATGTTCTTAACTCGAGCCGTTCTTAAGTCAAGACCCCACTGTATTCAGAATGTGGAGGAGGAAACCACGTATCGCTAGGAGAAGAAAGGAATGGGTTCAAGATCAAGTCAAACCTGAAATCTCACTAGAAATCAATGTGACTAAAGTGAAGCTGTCATATTTTGGACATAGCACAAGATGGCAAGACTCAATGGAAAAGTCAATAATGCTTGGAACTGAGGAAGCCCAAACATAAAATGAATTGACTCTTAAAGGAAGCCACAACCTTTGGTTTCCAACACCTGGATGGGAGCATTAATGATTACATTATCCTGGAGATCATGAACACATAAGATCATAATTTGACAGCAAATAAGACTAAAATACTACGTTGCCTACTTAACATTTGCCCTTTTGTGTCCTCATGCCTAGTAAGTACATGAGGACATAAGACCCAGACCTTGAGATTCTATTCCTGGCAGCTTTGGCTGGTTTGTGGTACTGGCCTCTTTGAGGCTTCATCTGTTACTTAAAGGAATGCCCCCACCCAGGCGTGACACCCTATATTAACTGAGCAAGCCATAATAATGCCTGTTATTTTGCCCCTTATGAGGAAGGAAAAAGGTTTCAGCCAAGTGCAGGTACATAGATATTGTACATATTATCAGAAAACTCAAGCAGTTCTGAAATTCTCTAAGACTTCCAGTTTCAAGCATCCATTTTAAAATGTGTTTTAGGAACCATACTATGTGTTTTGCCTCTACCAATAAAAATATATGAGTAAATAAATCATGTGAGGTGACTTGTCCAAATTATACATATACAAGAGTATCTCATGTCTGTTCTTTCTATTGTATTTATTATTTTGCTCTCTTAGGAGGATGGAGAGAGTTTCAGCCAAGTGCAGGTGTTGTACTGAATGTACTCTGTTTAGGAGAACAATATGTTTCAGATCCATCCATCTGATGTGTGCCTCCTTTTCTGCATATACTGTATATGCTGCATATACATACAGTATGGGAAGGGGGAAAGGGGGGAAAAGCAGTAAAAGGAAAGAGAAAAAAACTTCACCATGATAGGTCCTCAAACCCATGACATTTGCTGAAATGTACCCTGGCATTTCTGGAGGAGGCTTTAAAAAACAACAACAAATACACACTATTTCCCAAAGACGGCCCTAAAGTCCTTAAGGCTCAGTGGCTGTATCTACTTATCTGTCAGGGTGTACCTATGAAGTTGGCATCATGGACTATCAAGCAGGCATGCATAGCTTAGGAAGAGAGATGTTTTCAATGACCAGAGGTTTATCTTAATGAAAAGTTAGTCTGTGTTTGCATCACTATACTGTACTGTACTGCATTGTTCTTTAGCTTTGTTTCCTTTTCCTTGAACCAGCAGATGTCTCAGTACACTTAAACCTCCATACACATAACAAACAGCATAAGAAAGAACTTAAGGAAAGCTGGGCCCACCCAAGTCAATTTGTTGCCTGAGGCAGATCAGCAAATTATGTTCTCCATATTCAAATCAAGATGTGTAGGGCACTTAAACCTAGCCATGCCATTCTGGTTAATGGGACAGAAAATCCACCCACAATGCTGCCTTTGCTTCCCAGTAAAATCACAATGATAACAAAGTAAATAAGCAACAATTTGTAACACTCAGCATC